TGTGGATGCCGACCAGGGAGACCCTGAGGCCTGCAGTGGGGATCTTCCTGAGGCAGCACCTCTGACACTTTTCACACCATGCCTTGATCTACTGGAACATTCTTGGCCAGTAAAATTTTTCTCTTATCATTTGTAATGTCCTCTCAAATCCCTAGTGCCCTGGGTCATCACGAAGAGAAGTCTTAACTGATGTATGCAGCTTCTCTGGCAGGATCAGTTGTTCTATTGCACAACCCTGACGGTCTTTGATGCAGAGTTGCATGACATTAACCCTTATCACTAAACTCCTCCACTCATTTAGGAGAAGGCACACTTAGCCACCACCCTCAGCTCTCTCACTGTAGCTGGGTTTGATGTTTCAGCGTTTAAAATGCAGGGATGATGATAGGATCTTCTTTCTGTTCTGCTTGAACTACTTGTTTTGTCATGGTGAGGAAAGCTTCCATCCCTACATCCCCATAATGCTCACCAGAGTCCTGAGAGTGACCAGGCTCCGGCTTTTCAGAGCCACAAGGGCCCAGCTAGCTCAGTCGGTAGAGTATGAGACTCTTAATCTCAGGGCTGTGGGTTTGAGCCCCATGTTGGGTGCTCTAATCACTTGGGGGAGGTGACAGTGCGGTAGGTAGAGCAGTTGTCTCCTAAGAAGGTTGAAGGTTCAAGTCTCAGTGCCTGCAGTCCACATGTCAAAGTGTCCTTGGGCAAGACACTGAACACCCCCCCACCCCGCCCCTACCCCCTCACCTAAGGAGCTCACTGGTTCTGGGGTTGTCTGAGTCTCCCCATGCCCCAGCTCACTGACCTCACCTGCTGGGGCCAAGACTGTAGGGCTTGGATGACTTCATGGCTGGACATAAGAGAGAGCATCAGCATTTGTGTTGGTCTATACTGCACATCAAAGTTAAAAGCAAACAGCAGAGACACCCATTGCTAGACTGTTGCATCCAGCTTAGCTTAGGTCATCACATATTTGAAGGGGTTATTCTCTGTCAGGACTGAGAAATTGCAGCTCTTGAAAAAAATCATTAAATTTGTCTGTCACTGCCCACTTCAAAGCAAGAAACACAATTTTGTGTGCAGGGTACCTTGTCGCTGCTGGGCTCAAGCCTCTGCTGGCATATGCTATGACTCTCAGCTCCATCCCACCACCAATCCCGCCTCCGGAGGCATCAGTGTGTTAGACAAAAGGTAGGCTGTAGTCAGGACAGCCCAGGACTGGTGCAGTCATCAACTTTTTTTTCAGAGCCTGAAATACCTTCTCATACTCATCAGTCCACAGGATAGGTGGATCAGGCTCTGTGCTCTTCTTTTCCCCTCTTTTCTTTGTTTTAGAGTTACCAGAGTTGAGCCGGTAACAAGGGAGCAGCTAAGGTGGAGTAGCACTGCACTGACAGGGTGTCTTCTAATCTGGGCAGTGGAAATGCATTCCTTGTGCTACAGGAGCTGAGCTTCCTATAATCTATGCAAAGCCTTGGAGACCCATCTTTCTTGGTGACAATCACCACTGGTGAAGCATATTGACTCTTTCTAGGTCAAATTACACTCAGTCCTTTGACCTCTTTCAGCAGCTTTCTCACATCCTGCCACTGAGAAGGGGGGATTGTGTGATATGAGAGTTGAAAGGGCCTCAAGTCAACAAGAGGGATTTCATGTTGTACTGTTTTAGTGAGGATATAGCCCACTGGATGTTTTGAGAACACATCTGTGTTTTTCTTCACAAGGTATTTAAGGAGAAAGCACTGTCGCTCATCCTCCATTGCTGCTTCACTCAGGTCCACACCACAGTCTGCCACCACCTGATCAAAGCTCAGGCATGCCTCCATGCTTCCCCCACTGCCAGGGTCTTCCTGCTCTTTGTCAGGGAAATCCACAATGCTATTCACCAGGTAAGCATTGGCCAGGGTTGTATGAGGCTTGATTGTAATAGCACACTGGGACAGGTTCATTACTCTGATAGGGGCATAGCCTCTCTTTACATCAGCAAGGACTGTGGCAACCATTAGGTTCTGGGAGGAGTTAAAGGGAAAAGTGGCCTTCAATCAGAGCTGAGTAAAGGGGCTTTCAGATAGGACTAGATGGGCGCTGCGCTCAGCTATTGAAGATATTCATTTCTTTGTGTTGTGCAGTGCAAGAATGCATCTGCACTCAGCTCCACACAGGACAAGGTCATGTGTGCCATCCCTGCACTTCACTGAAGTTAAAAAAAGTTCATCTGGGCACAGTGCTCTGTCATGACACTTCGATGTGTCCAATTGCAGAGAGCATGACTGATCACAAAGAAAACTGAGGAGAAGCTGACTTTGGCAGACCCACATCCTCTTCTTCTTTCCTGTAGCTCATAAGCATCTTTTTGTCTGCATGACCATTAAACACTTGGACATTCTTGACCTGATGAGTGTGCATGAACCCACAATATGTTACTGTGAGAGGCCTGGGTTTGCAGTGGCTACGACAGACTGTAGATGGTTAACACAGCCTTGGGAGTTAGGCTTAATGGCCTGGGTGGAATGGTGGGAGGTGGCTGGTTGGCTCATGGAGGGCTGTGACAAGTTATGAATTCCTGGTAAGATGGCGTACAGGAGGCTTGGGAGAGGCACAGGGTTTGTGGACTCAGGAACAGCTTGGGGCTGGAGGGACTGCATTGGAGCTCTGAAGCCAAGAGATTGAGGTTTGATGGCTGAAGCAATACCTTGATCTATATGAAGAGAAAGCACTGACGGTGACAGGGTAAGATGAGGGTCTTGAGGTTGCCCATAGGTTTCATGGTAATGGGCTAGTATTGCAGTGGGGGCTCTGCAGGTTGGGTGGTGTACTTTGTAGGATTGGGTCCCCCTGCTTGCTCTGGGCTTGATGCTAGATTTATGGGAAATTGAATGCTTGGCATCACAGCAGAGTGTCCCCCCCCAATCTTAAGGGAATATCTGTATAATCATTTCTGTCACTCCCTGACTCCCACTTTTTTCTAATGCAGTCTAATTGGTGGTGTATTAATATGTAAATGGGGTGTATGAGGAGCAAGAAAAACAGTTTATATAAATCTGTCAGGTGCAATGCAATAAATTGTAGCAATCGCCGCTGAGCCTTAACCACTAGCCTACCAGAGACGGCTAACTCTAACTAAAACACAATGAATATGAATTAAGCCCAACAAAAAACCCTTGGAATAACTTAAAAAATATTCAGTAGATACTCTAGTAATATAGCTTAAGTGTTATTACAGAATATCATAAGCAGTTATCACACACAGCACTGACTCTTACATTGGACTCACAGTTCAGTTCCTTTACCATAAACAGTCACAAAAAACTGCAATAAATGAATATTTTCACTTTATACTCTGATATGCAGATGAAGGCAGGTACACAGTCCTCATGGTCTGGAGTACAGCAGGGGGCCAGTTGTATGTTGTGAGCAGGCTGCTCTGAACACTATTCACTGGATGTCCAAACTGCTGAAATTAGCAGCACAGTCCACTCCCTGTCTCTGTCGTCGGTCTCTGATGGTCACAATCTGGGTCACGGCACCATAGATGTAACCTGCTCCCTCTGCACATTTGCCACAGATTGAAAGCCCTCTACACCCCCAGGGACTCTGTGTTGTGTTTTTGTTATGAAGTGGGGTGTCATGTGGCAAGAAAAAAGGACCAGACACAGGGTTCTGTACTGAGGCTCAAACCATGGCTGCACTTCACTGGCTCAATCTGACCAAGGTTTCCCTCATTTGCTGTTCCTTACACAGTGCTCACTGACCCCAACACCTTCAAGCATAGCACCAAGTAAATATTGAACAAATATGGCATCCTATACAGTATGGAGCTAATTTCAGAACTAGTGTCTTGTAAGGGACATGCAGTGGGAATTGCTAAGCTCCCCACGGGGTAAGAAACTCAACATTACTACTTAGTGATCTATTCAGGTTACTGCCTTACATATACAAATCTGCAAGTTGTTTCATTATGCATTACCACAATAATGATATTAGTGACTGGTGGAAGAGCCTATACTGAAAGAGACATCAGAACATAAGGACATGTACATACACATTGAGAGCCACTGTACCAGAGTCAGATTCCTCGTGTCTCCAACACACCTGGCCAATAAAGCTGATTCTGATTCTGAGAATACCATCGACGAGCACAAAATGTGGCTAACCAGCTATAGACTCTACAATTGTTCTCTCACAGCATTTTTTACCTGCTATAGCTTAAGTCAAAACAGCCACAAACATTTACAAATTAGCATTTTAGCTGAATGTCCATGGAAAACAAACATTTACAAATGAGCAAATTTAGCTGAATGTCCATGGAAAAAATAATTTAGCAAACAGGCTAATGTGACACAGGTAATGTGTAGACTAAGTTTACTAATGTAACATTGCCACAGAGTGTGACACAGCAAACAATTTACCCACCTGTCCAGCAGAAAAAGAGCAATTTCTGCATTAGCATCCTTAATAGACTTTTTGTACTCTTCATTAAGAAAGGCTAACACTAACACATTTTCTACACTCTGCCATCCTCAAAATTGCAAATAATGAGAAACAAATACATAAATTGAACCCATGGTTAGCAAACCAATTAAAACCATGTTTTTGTAATCAAGTTATTAAAATAAAGTATAAATCAATGGCAAGAAAACAATTTTTCTGACTTTTCTCTGGGGGCTTGCATCATGCTATAAAATCTGTTTTAAAAAAGTATAAATTGAATGTTGCTGATTGGACATATTTGCAAGCATAAGTGAGTAAGAGAGTGTTTTTGGACCTTCCCAGCCTCCTTACCTAGCCATTAGTAAGCAAAGGTGGGTGCATGCTGCATTTCGCCTTTGCCTCTGCTCTTCTTACATCTTGTTTGTTTGTTTGTATTTTGGTTGTTTATTGGATTGTGTAGATGGGGATTGGTTGGTAGCTAGCCCAGTGCCTGCATGTCAACATGCACTAATATGGATGTTTTTGTTTTATTGTGTGTTTGTTTGTCTGTTTGTTTGTGTTTGCATCCTCTGCAGTGTTGTTTACCAGGATGGATTTTATGGTGCAGATATTTATGTAAGTATTATTTACTAGTGTGACATAGCATGTTACACTACCATCTCCATGCTCTCTGCTGTTTTTGCTATGCACATGCAAAGCCGCAACCCATACTTGTACATGGCTTCACTTTTAGCTGGTTGAACATATAGATGATCATTTCATAACCTGCAGTTCAGATTGGCCCCAGCAAGGAGAATATAAGCACAGGTATTGAGAGCAAGACACAAAAGCTACATTCTAACAAATAAGAGGCATCAAAACTTCTTTATTGGTCCAAAAAATAGTACAAAAAACACATAGCAAACAATCAATACAGAGCTAAGAGAGAGATGTGTGTGGTATCATGGGAAGTCGAAGTGAAAAAAATCCAAATTCAATTCAGAAGTGATACCTGATTTCTGATTCAGTAATCAAGTATCATACTGATTCAGTAGATACAAGACGTACAGTGTTCAGGTTCACTGTAACTGCACTGTGTGTCAAACCGTTACCTTGTGTCTTTAATCCAAATAGAACTGGCACTGAACATCGGTGTCTGACTGAACATATGAAGTAGAAAAAGTGTTTTGTAAAGGAATTATTAAAAAAAAACTGATATTTGGCAAATTATAGTTACATCAGTGTTGCACCTAGACTGCAATCCTTTCCTGGCAACCCATCCTCACAAAGAAATAACATATAACATATAAATTACATGATAAATAAAGTATTAGAACAACCCCCATATTTTTGTCCTCCCCAGCTACATACATGAGAGGATGAGAATATTAGGAACACCACAGAATATAATGTACAGTACAACACCACCTTTAACTATGACCTCAATAATAAACTTATAATTGAATTTATACATTTATGACAATTTCACCAAAAAGATGAAAAGTTTTGAGCTTCATAAACACAGATGTTAAGGTGGAAGTGTTGCATTGAATTACATACAGTTGTACAGGTGTACCTAATAAAGTGGCCAGTGAGTTTATTAAAGAAGGACCATACACTGATTTCCATGCTATAAACAGATATTTAGATTCAGTTTTTCTTATTATGGTCATGATCAGGGTGTAATTTGTGGGGAAAAAAATGGTGGGGGGTAGGAAGTTGAAACATTTTTCGTCCTGAAAATAAAGGAGCCAGTGGTCTATATACAGAACATTATGAAGCTTTTTAGGGTATATCTTGCAGTTTTTAAAGTAACATTTATAGAATACATTTTAACCTCAATTAAACAAATTCACTTTTGCTTAATTTGCCTTTTTTGTTTGTTTGTTTTTACCATCTTTGATTTTATGCATTGTTGAAATTATGGGGAGCCAGCAGTGGTTAGCTCCCCAAGAAGCAACAAAAATGTAAGTGTAGTAGTCCCAAATAATCAATAATCAGTAGCTATCAAATTATAATAAAAACAATAAAAGTTTGACACCCCCCTCTCTCTCATCTTTTTTTCAGTCCCACATGTCTCCTTTCAAGGCATTGGAGTTATTGCTTTAAGGTTCACTTATGCGCAACTAATCTTTGTAGTACCTGCAGTTTTCGGGGAAAGTATTAAACCTTTTACTTTGAATAATGTGAAAACTGAGACAACTTTTATGTTCCAATGAAGCATCTAATATGATTTTTCTTTTTTTTTTATGGTGGCTCATGAGCTGATTTCATGTGTTATTTTTTGCATGTGGTGTCAGGTTGTTGTTAACAACTGGCTGGAGTGCACCTCCACAGCTCAGCAGCCACTCTGTCATCAACACCATCCCATAAAAACTTTCCACGCAATGACAAAACTTCCCAAATATGAGGGTCCAGTAAAATATGATGATACACTGCCTTGAATCTTTTTCATTTTTCTTTCATGATTCAGCAGAGGCAGGGATATATAGACTAGAGGGGGAAAATTATGTTGGGGGGGCATGCAATGATTTGCAAATAAAAGAAGAAGAAAATTTACACCAAAACTGATTTGTCAAAGCTTATTATAACTCAGAAGTCTGGTTTCATACTAATCCTTCCAGTGAAGGTTTCAAGGGCTTCTATTTGCAACAGACATAAAATTATATTTAAAAAGATTCCAAAGACAAGTTATTGAACTGGAGTCCATCCAGGAGAGTCATGAAATGGAACTCAGCCAAAGGTTCTACTTAGCTTACATTACCACACTACATCTACTGAAACACACTCATTATACTCTGTAATGTGTCATTCTGTAAATGTTTATTTTCTAAAAAGACTGAAGAAATACTTTCAAATAACAGAACAGTTTAACAATTGAATAGTGTATAAAGATGTGTAAAAACACTGGTTAAATTCTTTAACATACTTTCTAAAATAATAATTCAAGCACTAATAGTGCAGGCTAATCATGCATTGTGTGTATGCTCGCGTTCACAGAAGTGAGGACCAGCCTAAATGTCCTCACTCTCTGATACCCCTTCAGAGGGCTGATTGAGATTGAAGACTATACTATACACTGTGTGCACAATTATTAGGCAAGTGAGTATTTTGACCATATCATCATTTTATCCATAATTTCCAACTCCAAGCAGTATAAACTTGAACGCTTATTGGACTTAATGCATATCAGGTGATGTGTTTTAGTGTAACGAGGGAGGGTGTGGCCTAAGGAGATCAACACCCTATATCAAGGTGTGCATAATTATTAGGCAGAATGTTCTCCTCTGGAAAAATGGGCCAAAAAAGAGATTTAACTGACTCTGAAAAGTCAAAAATTGTAAAAAGTCTTTCACAGGGATGCAGCACTCTTGAAATATCTAAGATATTGGGGCGTGATCACAGAACCATCAAACATTTTATAGCAAATAGTCACCAGGGTCGCCAGAAACGTGTTGAGAAGAAAAGACGCAAATTAACCACCAGAGATTTGAGAAGAATCAAATATGAAGCTACCAGGAACCCATTATCCTCCAGTGCTGCTATATTCCACAACTGCAACCTACCTGGAGTGTCAAGAAGTACAAGGTGTTCAGTTCTCAGAGACATGGCCAAGGTAAGAAAGGCTGAAACCCGACCACCTCTGAACAAGACACATAAGTTGAAACGTCAAGAATGGGCCAAGAAATATCTGAAGACAGATTTTTCAAAGGTTTTGTGGACTGATAAGATGAGAATGACTCTTGACGGACCAGATGGATGGGCCCGTGGTTGGATCAGTAATGGACACAGAGCTCCACTTCGACTCAGACGCCAGCAAGGTGGAGGTGGGGTACTGGTATGGGCTGGTATTATTAAAGATGAGCTAGTTGGACCTTTTCGGGTTGAAAATGGACTCAAAATCAACTCTCAGACCTACTGCCAATTTTTAGAAGACACTTTCTTCAAGCAGTGGTACAGGAAAAAGTCTGCATCTTTCAAGAAGACTTTGATTTTTATGCAAGACAACGCTCCATCACATGCATCAAAGTACTCCACTGCGTGGCTGGCCAGTAAAGGCCTTAAAGATGAAAAACTAATGACATGGCCCTTATTTTGGTGTTTTCTGTTCCCAACCATAGATCTTAAGTCAGATCTTAGGCTATTCATGCAAACCCAACATATCCTACTGCTTCACATTGACCACCGCCAAGCAACTATGGGAAATGCAGTGTATTTGTTATTGAATTAACAAGTACAGTTAGTGGTGCTGTTCTTCAGTTACAATCTGTCTGTACATGTTAGGGATGTACAGAGCTGAGGTGAGCAGCTGGTTTAAGAGCTGCAGACAGAGCACACCTCAAACATGACATCAAGGTAAACGACTACTTATACCTCACCTGGTTGTCCTGTGGGAAACATTTGTGATGTGCCAGGGTTACTTAGAATAATTGTGATTGTGTCTGGTTTAGCTCAGCACAGGTATCTCCACTCCTGTAAAAAGTCAGGTTGATGTGATGGATTCTATGCCTCATTGCACAGAATAACCCCCCCTCCTTTTTTTTGCACCTGGTCCTTTGTAAGAACAGGCTTCTGTTAATTGTGGCCTTTCTTTGCATAAACAATTTAAGATTTCACTCTGTCTAGAAACATGTGGCTAGAGTGCATTAAAGTTGGAAATGTTGCCTGTAGCCACTGAGGATTTGTTTTGTGCAATTAATTGAAAGAAGGCAATGCTTGAGTGTGGGCCTACTGTTTGTCTTGTGGCTGAAATCCTGAAAGTCACTGAAGATGGATGGACACATAGGAAGAATAGTCCTAGTCTGCTTTTCTTTCTTTCGGTGAATCAACAAATGTGATGGACTAGAAAAATTCCCTGCATGAGGTTGTGTATTTGTGTCAATGTACAGTATGTGTGTGTGAGTGAAGTGGCCAAATTTGGCTGCATACACAGCACCACTATTGTCCTTTCCAAACACTGCACACACACACACACCTGCACACAGAGCTGTAGGGTTGCCATTAGTCACTCAGTCAGGAGTGACAGTCCATAGTGGCTGGTGACTAACACGGGCCAATCTGTTCATCCTTCTGCCACGTCCCATCATCACAGGCACTAAGTATCACTTACTTGCCTCCACAGTTTATAGTGGTAATAATACACTGCTCATGTCAGGACAGATGCACTCTTTGTCACAGAGTGTGGAAGCATGGAGGGTGAACTGATATGAGAAATGCTGGAGGTGTCACTCAGCCTGGGAGAGCAGAAAAATGGCCTTTGTTATATGATAAACCAGGGACTGTCAACCATGTACCTTTTACAGCCAACTGTCTGGGACCTTTTTCCTAACTCAGACAAATGGGATGGCTAGAGGTTTCTTGAAATGCCACTATGTAAATACACCTTTATCGCTGATTTTAAAGCTGCGCTAACATTTTTGTCCAGTTATGGCCAACAGAACAAGTTCAGAGCCATAACATCTATATATTTTCACATTAAGCAGTTACAGCCCATGTGTCAGCAAAGATCCAACAAACACACAGCAACATTGTCACTCATTTGTAGTCATGTCTGTGTCCAGCTGATAAATGTAATTCCAATATTCACAATTTTTTACCTCTGCCTTTTTGCCATTATCAACGCCTGCGGGAAATATCTGACTGTATAGCTGTTTGGTGTTCCACTATGTTCACCTGCATATTTCTGAGCAGGTAGTGTACGGTGACTTTTCAGAGCTTTTTTCACTGAAAAGCTTGCAGGCTATAAAACTAAAACAATGACCTAAAAGAAGGTCAGAATCTGCACAGAGCTGAGGGTAAGCGCAGAGCTGTGGTTTCAGCACAAAGTATGACATCTTTTAAACTCCAGATAATGATTTGAAATTACTAGTGTGGATTTAGTGTTTGCTGCTTTTCTCTGCAATGAAACTGTAGAAACTACCCAGATTTCCTTCTTCTGTTTATTTATTTATTGCGAGTGATCACCACTGCTTATGAGTATTAATTTGTACTTAGGATGTGTAGAGCATTGATTCTGTAGCTAAAGGTACACTTTCATTTACAGCAGGTATTGATTTTAAAGGTAGGCTTGGCAATCCTGGAAAAACCAGCAAGAGGAAGCTTGATTTTGAAAGTAGACAAGCAAATAAATTACATCATTTTGTTCTCACTCCTCCAAAGCAGCTCCTCCAAAAAACAATGCACACTGCAAAGTGCACTGCCTGACTACTACTTACAGATTTCAGAAAAATAACAAATGCCCCCAAACAAAATACAACTGATACCTACCTGTCCAGCAAAAATACTTATTTTCTCAGTTGAGTCCATCATTCAAAAGCCACACTGATTCTTGCGGCATCCAACTTCTTTTTAGTTATAACCTTCTTGAATATGGTGTTACCTGCCCGAATCTGTGATCCCTAACCATAGTTGGGAATCTCTGATTCATTGCTAAGCTAATTTAGCCCTGGCTCCCAGCCGATAATTAGCCTTAGAAGTCTGGGCTTTTCCAGCAGGGAGAAGTGAAGAGGGAGGCCAGCTAATGCCATTCAAAACACAGGCTTTATTCCATCTTGGTAACACAAACATTTTGATGCCCAGTTAACGGCATTACAGTCCTATCTTTACACTTAAAGCTGACTACTGTTGGTATTTTCCCCACCCATGGCTGCATGTAAAAGGAGTCTGTTCTGTGCAGCAGTATTCTCGCTCTCATACTGAGCACACTGCATACAGGTAGCAACTTCTGGCAACAACAGCAACATTACCTATAAGCATATACAGTATGTATAGGGGAAGGCCTGGTCTGTAACAATGATCTCGATTTGCGAACAAAAGCTGCTGTGGGTACCTTCTTTGCCATAGCTTACTAGCTTTAACCGAGTGGTAATGTCTGCCTGCAACTGCAATGCCTTGTGGAAGACTCTTGGCTCACGCATTGAGTACAAGGGCAGAGTGCGTGCAAGTAGGAAGTTAGGTTGACCATCCAGTGGTTTTGCTTGGGATGAGTAGAATTATTGGTCAGGCTTTTTTCAGCCCTACTCCTGCCACAGACCATAGAATTTTTTCTTAATGTTGTCAGTGCATTTAATGTATTAATTACCATCAGGATGAAAAGAGAATTTCAAGACCTGTAACAAAAAATGCTTCTGAAAATAACTGCCAACAATACCTTTAATACTGTACACAACATATTCTGATGAATTTACTTGAAAGACATTTACTGAAAGTAACTGAATGACATTGATAACCCTCAGTCATTATCTTGTCCCAAACACATTTTAAGATCCAATTCAATGTTATACCTTAGTATATCTAAAGTTCTGGCTACAACCTGTTTCTCAAAAACAAATCAGTGTATCTTTTAAAAACAAAAAATGATCTAGAGATGTTATGCCTCATGAAATTAGTTATGTATAGGCATGGGGGTACATACTGTATGTAGCACTTGATTAGAGGCCCTAATGGCAAAAATACTTGTTTTTACAGTCTCATATACATATAATAACAGAAATGTGGGTAGGCTTTACTCTCTCTATATATATATATAGATGGGTTTTTTACTGGTATTTAAAGAGCCAATGGCATGCTCATTTTGCTCATTTCCAGCCATTTAATGTTTAATCTTCGGTACCTCTAGATTATCTTTGCACCCCTCATAACTCCAAATAGTCTGTAATTATTTCAGAACAATAAAACCAGAGAGCTTCTTCCTAAAAACAAGAGGATAGTTTGTGAACATGCACAACTCCTGCTGCTAGTGTTGTGTTGCAAGTGGACAGCATGACAAACCGCAAAAGCATTAATTTGAATTTCTCCTCCATAGATAGGTAAACAATGGTATATGTGCCGATGAAAAGAGATTTGTAACACTATAAACAAAGAGGGTAATTGAGAAACCCCATATTTTATCTGACATAATGCAGACATAGTAACATCTCTAGCCTTACAACAATTCTCTCTAGCAGTACAGGAACAACGCACTGACAGTCATGCAACGTTTTTTTTTTCTAAACTTACCATTAAATCCCACCAAGTAGTGGATCACTCCCTTTCAAGTAGCTCCAAGGTTGGTAAATCTAACCGGTGGTCGCTGCATCTTCCCCCACACAACCACAAACAGTCCCGAAGTAGTGAAGTTAATTCCAACAGCTACCATAGCATTGACAATAACATCATGGATTGTTAATCTGCTCATTAACCGGCAACACATCACATGCAGCAGACGCACTGGCCTCAATCAGTCAAAACAAACAGGTACTGTGCTCCGGGGGAATCCAGAGTTGATGAGCTGATCACTCACGCTGTGGGGTGCTTCACTGGCCAGCTGCTTGTAGGTTAGACCCGGACAGGTAAAACAACAAGTCCCTGTACAGGAACATTCCTGGACATGCAGTAACCTCAGGCCCTGTATTTTTCTCCAGATCCTCTGGTCACAGTGCAGCAGCAAGAAGTAAAATACAGTACTGTATATCCACAAAACTGCATGAAGTCAAAAAATTCCACTTTTAAAATGGCACCAGTGGATGTCAGGCAAGCTTGCATGAATGTGCAACTGCCTGGAGAAAATGACCATTCAAGGAAATCCTTAAATTATCATGTAATATGTTATTTTTTTAGAAAATAAGTAAGTCCACGAGTGAGAGTTTGCGAGACTTGTACAGACCAAGTTGCTTCTGCATAGAAGTACTAGAACATACATACATGTAATTTTGTGAGCTGTTGTAAAATTGTACGCAAGTCAGAAAACAAGGAAAAGCATGCCATGGGCTCTTTAAGTTTATTATTATCATCATGTCTGCCTCACTGTCAGTGTCTGACATTCAGTTCAATAGAGTCTCCATGGTAGTAAATTGACTCTTATCACTGTTATTTGTTGTGTTTATGTGTTTCTAGGGTGGTTACGCTGCCTACAGATATGCCCAGCCTACTGCTGCCACAGCTGCCGCATACAGTGACAGGTAAGTACACACGGTCACTGACAAGAGATGCAAAATTCATAGATTTACTGTATTACTGATGAAACATTGAGTTATTTGATGGAGTTTTTTGGAGAGGTAGTGTATGGCCCTCGGAACAATCCATTAGATTTTGGTGCTGATCCAGATCCAGAAATAATTTTAAAGGATCCTTCACCATTATGTGATAGGGCCACTTTCAGTATTTTGATTTAACTCCATACACAATGCCTAGAATGACTGGACAAAAATTGAGATCTACCACACACCAAAGTAAGATCTGAGTCCAAATAATATTCCAGGTCTGCTGATCCAGAATGTTCACATTTATCATTTATACAGCTCACATAAAACTTGCTACTGTGAGACAACGAATAATACTACAAACTTAAAATTAAGATCAAATTCTAGCTGAAACTCTGCTGACTGAGTAAAGTGTCATCAGATGGGATGTATCTTCAAAGGTTGCTGACCTAGATCCTGAATCCTGATGAGCCTGATCCTTATGTTTTTTCATGAATAACTTTCAAACTAATAATGGTATCAATAAGTGTGTATACATGAAAATGAGTGTCCAGGATATGATTGGGGTTTTGAAGTATCCAATCATATCCTGATTTCATGAATTGGGATTTTTGATAAATCTGACCATTCTAGGTGGAGTAGTCCCAAAGAAACCAGGATATTGCTGTATATATGCATCTTATCTAGGTTTTTGAATGTACAAGGCTATCTGCACAGGCACAACTGCAGCATACAAGTGAGTTAAATAAACACAATCAATATTTGCAGCAAATACATCTGACTTTTGGAGCAATGAAGAGATGTAATTTTGTCTTTCACTAATGAAAGAGTTAAGTGTACTTGGTTTCCCATTATGTACAATGGAACAAGTCAGATCAAGTCAAAGGGTTTACGATGATCTTAAATTTGGTTAATTATGCCAATTTGTCCAGTTTATTCCAAGTATTCGAAGCAGAGAAAAAGAAGGCCTTTCCAATCTCCGTTCTAGTATATGGACTCATGAGTTGATATACATATGTCCTGTCACCTCAAGATGTATTTTAATGAAGAATTTTGAACAATAAATTTACAAAGATACAGGGGTAACTTGCCAAGAATGGTTTTAAGATAAGAGAGGGCCATCCCACTCTCAAATACAGGGTGCAGTGGAATTTGGGAAAGGCAATTTGTAATAAACATTAACCTCTAGAGTCCTGAGCTTTGGAAACCCAAGCTGTGCGGTCCTCATATGAGGACGCAGGGACTCTAGAGGTTATGGCACTATGTTAAACAGTATCTAATTTACAAAGATAGTATGCCGATGCTTTCATATATAAAAGTCACCATAACCAAAAGGAGGTAGAGGGGCAGCAAGTGGCTTTTTTCTGGTTGCCAAAGAGAAACAAGGTTTATGTCTAAAATAAAATCCCAACTTCAGTCTTAGTTTCTTTCCCAGATCTTCAATTTGTTGTATAGAAAGAAGTCATTTTAAAAAGTTGGCAATGATGTCACAATCAGCATGACTTCCAGGTTCTAGTATGGCTACCTTGCTTGCTCCACCACTCATCTTTGACAGCTGGCTGATCACTGCCAATTCATGGCAACTGGCTGATTGTTTGCACCTGAGACTCGTTTTGCTGCCTATTTAATCTGCCCTGATCACTTGATAGTCACTTGCCTGTCAGCAGTACTTTCCAGCCATATATACCTGATCCCTCCCTCCCTGATTCAAGACAGTCTTTAGTCTGTTTGCCCTGCTGCGTGCCTAGCCCTTGTCTGCTCAGTAAGCCTCTCTGTTCTACCTGGTTGGTAAGCCTGAACTGTTTTGATTACTGGCTCAAGCCTCTGCCTGTCTGTGCCTCAACTGGCTTTTTCCGTGGGGTTTTTTTTCCCATCACTGTTAGTCAGTGGATTTTTTTTGTTTAGCAGCTGAAGAGGACTATAGTTCATTTTTGTGGTGCTGTGTGCAGTTTTGTATTTCTTTTCCCCCAGCTTGTGCTGCTTATCTGTTGCCAGCCACCCTGTTTTGCTCAAATCCTTTTTGTGTTTGTGTGAGAGACATTCCCACTTACCCTTTATTAATTTGTCAAAGAGAATCCTCAGAGGCACTTACCTGTTCCACCTACCTGTTTTGCCTCCCTGGTCCATTTACTTCTGCCCCATCTCCTGCAGGTTGCCAGTTCTTTGGTCTCTGCCATCGCCTGGGTCCCTGGGGAAAAAAAACCCTATCCCTCTCTACAGATAATTACCCGTTTTCTGTGTTACCCAGTCTTGTGTTCCCAGTTCTGCTCCACTGTATAGTGCCAGTTCCCAGTGGAGAGTATAACCTCCTCCACCTGAGCCTCTGCAGGTCCAAGTCCCGTTCTATGTCTGCACCTCCAGCCAAAGTGTCAGTCACCTGTGTTACGTTTTTCCCTGGAAAACTAATAGAATACATTTGTGTAACTCAACTCACTACCTCAGTCTGAAAATCTCAAATAATCTGCTAGAAAAAAAAAACTCATCTGACATCTGTGTTTCCTAGGCTCTCAAGCCTTAAATTCATTGAGCCCCAGTTGTCCAGGAGCTGTACTGAGATCCTGCTGTCTTATCACATCTGCCTCCACTGCTCCTCACCCCTGGAGTGGCTTTGCCCCTACCTTAAACCCTTTTAATAAACCTATTGCATACTGCTGCCATTTGTCTCACATTTGGGTCCTCTTGCTGACTTTTTTTATATTGAAAAAAAGTGGTACAATCTCTGGAACTAAAACTTTTTTTTTTTTAATTTATGGTGACACTGGATTGCACTTTGGGTTAGATTTGTTAAACTCTCTACTAGGTAGAGAAGCATAGATAATGTTAAATGGTGAAAATATGCTTCATACCATTGGGGAAAGGGCTTTAAGTTAAAATGGTGCTTTCCACAACTTTGCCATTTTATTAATAGATACCATACTGTATATTCAACACAGTGAATAATTTGTGCTAAACTATTAAGCACTGGTGTGAAAATGTTCATAACTGCACAGAACTTACCATCCTATTGGATTCATTATTCGTCTTCCACCTCACTTCCCCCAAGTTCTTTTTAGCTTGTGTGTGGGTGTGTGCATTTCTGAACTTGATTTGAATTAACAGTCATGGATGGCAGAAATAATATCCATTTTAGAAGCATGATATACAATTACAGAGAGGGCTTTGGCTGTAGACAATAGAACAGCTAATATTTTAGCAAAGTAGGTAAACAGTTGGTTTGCATTAGGGGAAAAAAAACTATCAAAAAAAAAGACTGACTATATTTTCCATGGGAGATTTAAGGGAAAGCCTAAGAAATGGAGATTTATTCCAGTGTACTTTTGTTCAGGACAGGTGGCAAAAACTGATAAAGTAAAAGAAAAATGTTAAAGCAGGGGATTTGCTCTTCTTAGAACCTGTTACATAACACGCCCATGACAAGAAGTATTAAATAAGCAGTAACTTAAATAAGCAAAAGCTTGTGATTGCTATGAGTTTTGATGCTGTTTGACATAAATTTTTTGTTTTGATCAGATGAAAACTTCTATATTTACTTTAAAATACAAAACATGGCCAACATTTAGATAACTTGTGTAATTCATGACAATTTATAAACTGTACTGTCACTATAATGACCTTTTTGTTAAATTGTTCATTTTACCAGAGAGGTGTGAAAGCTAAGTGGATTTTTTTTTTATTGCATAAGAAGGCTATAAATTAATCTTTGTAATTTTTAAAGAATTACAGTATAAGACTCATAAAATCCATATATTTTATGCAGAGTTAATTATATGGTAGTGAATATTTTTATATTTCATTGCTATTTGACCTGTATACTTCTCCTGATTCAAATACAGCAGGTAATAGGTGACTGGGATTTTGTAGGTTTTAAAAGATAAGGCTGGTCATTTTCTATATTAACATGTTTCAGTCCTCATGATCTAAATAATACAAAGGCACACACATACATAATGTTTTCATCACTTACTGGGCCCCTACATAAACTTGTATTCAATTTCAGGGAACTCACCCTAACCTTAACCCTAATACCAAAGCTGACACTTGCGCTAACCTTATACCTCATTGGTTTCGTAAAATTCAACAAGCTATCTTGTAGGGACCAGCCTCTGGTACTCACAAGTGACTTCCGGGTCCCGCAAAGGTAGTAACTGCTGCTGCTTGTCTAAAATGGAAACTCATTGAAAATGAAAACATGCTATTATTCAGCAAAATGATCAAGGAAATGTATTTATGTATATGCCATCAGCCTCCAATACTTTAGATGGTTGAAAGACAATAAAATAAAACTATGTGCATTTTTGAGATAGCTTTCTTCCATAAATATTCACTTTATCCCAGATCCTTTTGTATTTGACTAAGCTGCCAGTCATTTTATAGGGCTGTTGAAAATGTTGTTTTCTTGTGTATCTTTTCAACTCAGGGTCACCTCAAAACTGCATTTGAATTTGTGTTGCAGATGCACACTCTCACATGTGCACTGTTATACACTCACACACACACTAATGATGGGTTAGGACTGTGCTGTGAGATAAGATAGGACAAACGCAGTGCTGGGATGAGTGAGGGTGTTGGGGGTTGCATGGTGAATAGCAATGTCCAGAACTAATCGGGATTAACTTCTAATCGCTTCAGCCACTGGGCCGCTATGCAAATCAGCTCAATTATGGGCACAGGCCCTGGGCTCTGATTGGCCCTTGTCATAACAGGGCTAGGGCAGGGAGCAGGTTGGGCTGGCAGGCCTGCACACTAGAAAAATGCACTGTTGCTGTCTGTTTTTTTTCTACAAATAGAATTCTCATTGAATCTCTATTATTTGATGCCTTGTAGTTCTTGTTTCTTTTTTCTGAGTCACATGAAATCTCTAATTTCCTCTATTTTGTAGATTACTTAATCACAACCTTGTCTCTGGTTATTTTGACATAAAGTGTTCTGTAGCGCCATCAAGACAGAAGATGTTTAAACAGTTTGTGCCCAGGATGTGCGGGGTCTGCAGAAATCTTCTTTGCTCTCCTCTTGACTTGTGAGGTGTACAGGTCCTCCATGGAGGGCAGGCTGGCACTGGTTATTCTTTCTGTGGTCTGAACTGTCCATTGGAGTCTGTTCTTGTCCTGTTTGGTTGCTGAGCGAAACCAGACAGTGATGGAGGTGCAGAGAACAGGCTCAATGATTCCTCTGTAGAACTGTATCAGCAGTTCCTGGGGCAGGTTGAACTTTCTGAGCTGGTGCAACATATTCCTCACAGCTAATCTCATCTCATCTTATTGTCTTCTGGTCAGTGCTCAGTTCTAAGTTTGTCATGTTAAAGCTCTTCACTACTCAGTACAGTACAGGGGCTATACTTTAGCTTTTAGTTCACCTGAGCCTATATTTTCTTGTGTATGTCTGGTGTTAAACCTTAGGTCATTCTTGGTAACTCTTGTTTTAAGCTCTATTTGGTTGATCTTCAATAGTTTGCCAGTGTTTCACTGTTATTTTAGTTCCCAAGACATTAATAAAGCTCTCTTTGTCCCTACCACATTTCTTTGGCTCTGTTGTCTTGCATTTTGGTCATCTAAGTGTAAAATCATAAGAGACTATCTCAGTTGTAATGTATGCTATGACTTTTGAGCAATGAGCTAAAAGAGGCTATAAAGCTCTGTAGAGCAGCAGATAATTAACCTAGTGACAATGGCACTGTCATTATGAATGTTCATTTATAATTCCTGTTCATTTGTTATTGCCATGCTCAGTTTGTTCAATACTAATGTGTCTCTAAATGTAACCCACTACTATATATTTATTTACACCTTGCAGTGTCTCACAGATGGTTGTAACTACTAGTCAAAAGTTTGATGTGTCCAAATTGAACTCATGAGTAGTCATTTTAAAATATTTGCTCAATTACCAGGATTAATTTGATTTCCATCCTCTTATCATATGTGTTTCTACAGTTACGGACGAATATATGCTGCCGACCCCTACAACCACACGCTCGCTCCAGCAGGCACATACAGCGTCGGTGCCATGGTAAGAGTGTCATGCCTGCCACACATCTCTTCTCTCCATTCCTGGCCCTCTTCATATCATGCTTCATCCCACTTCTTACTGGCAAAGTTTCTAAAATCTAACATCTGTTTTAACTCAACAAAATTGTGTCTCCCACATATAAATTAAAACTGAGATCATCTTTTCCAGTGCAGTAGATACAGTAAATTGCTTTAGAGCTGCATTGGGTTCATTGGCATGAGTGGAGTAAGAAAAATGAAAGCTAGCTGACCAATTACAGTATCACATTTGGTGTTAAGGAGTGCAATGGTTACATAACACTGGTATTTTGCTATAGCAACTGAGTTTAGGTGGTTGTATTTACAGTATATCAAGACAATAAATACTGGGCATTTTATATTGTCACAGTAAACATATACCAATCAAACACTAGAATGACTAACATATTTGAATGACTTGCATTAAAGCTATACTATCTGATCTGATTCAACTGGTATTATAAACATTGTGGGCCTCAAAACTTATGACATTAGGCTGGAACTAACAAGGTCACCTATAGACTTCAAAGGGGTCAGCCAGCTGTGTCTTAGGATGGCTGAAGCTCCTCTGTAGAAGGAAAATCATTTCGGCCATGATCTCACTGTTTCAGTCGTTACCCAAAGCTCGTGACCATAGGTGATCTTTCAATTGGCCAGTTAACAAAACCAAAAAAGCTGAGCTCTCTCTTCACCAGCAGTAATTGTATTCCATCTTACAATCACAAACTGAAATATTTAAACTCATTCACTTGGGTCTTTGCCAGAGGTTGTGGTCTGATAAAGCCAACAGAATACAATATGTTTTCTGCAAAAAACAGCAATCCAATTCTGAGGTCATCATATTGATAATAAGATACAACTATGGCAGAATGCAATGGGTGTAGGGAGTGTGTGTGAACTTTTCTGAGAATTCCAACACAGTTCTCACTTAAACAAGGCTTGGATGGCATGTAGCAATTGCCCTCTACACCCCCCAAAACCTCCATAACATATGCTGGGGTGCACAGACTTCTTTAAGGCTGCAAGCAAACACCTCTCTGGTATCTTTGTGCTATAGGTGCCAGTTCACTCCTCTACAGCCAGGATGGAATCCACATTGCTCCTGAAACTGAGATCTAACAATCAGCCAGAACATTGGCATTCACAATGGGTGCAGTGGTTAGCGCTGTTGCCTCACAGGAAGAAGTTTCCAAGTCAAAGCCTGGGCCGGCCCAGTGCCTTTCTGTGTGGAGTTCGTATGTTCTCCCGGTGCCTTTGCCTCTGGGTACTCTGGCTTCCTCCCACAATCTTCTAAAGACATGCAGCTTAAGTTGACTGTAGACTAAATTGCCCCTAGAAGTGAGTGTGAGCACGTGTGGTTGTTTGTCTACATGTCAGCCCTGTGATAGACTGGCGTAACAGTATAGATAATGGATGGATGGATGGCGCACTAACAACCTGTAGCTAGAATCTGAAATCAAGTGTGCATCATGTGAAATTTCTGATACAGATACATAAATCATCTCTTTGCAGTGACAAATGTACAGTAAATATAAGAATGGAAATACCAGATAAACAAAAGTAGCTGACTGTTGCTGAACCTCACCACCACCTCACCTCAAATGCATAAACAATTAGGTTTCTGAATGTCACCTTTCCAGGTGCTCCATTTTTGTGATAGTGCAAAGCTGGTGTATAGTAGCTTCAAATGCAGTCTTTATGTAGTTTACACAGGGTGCCAGTCTATTTTTGGCATTTTACTGCCATGAATGAATCAATGTACTTACACTAGGAAGAGGAGGGATGTAGCTGATTAAGTGTTTATGCTACTTTGGTAGCGCAGTGCAATGTTAGTGCTCATTTTCATTTGAAATTACTTTTGAATTGAAACTGTCTCAGATCACTTTTTGCACAAATGCAGGTCCATTGCATTTTTTCCAACAGAGCTGGTTTGATTTGTCATTACTAATGCCAGCCCTGACTTCAACTGTTCATAATGCATTCCTCCTACTAATGATGTATCCTGCTTCTCTTCGACATTGACTCCTGGTTATACAGTACCAGGCTGTGGTCTTCATGCCCAATATGCTCCAATGCTGGTGGTTACCAAAACTTCAAAATTACATTGAAAGTTTTTGATTGCTGTGATCATTCCTTCATGCTGGAAGTAAAGTAATTTCTTCCTAGAATAATAGCAGCGTAAAGCTTGGTGAAGGATCCACTTCACAACTACTTTTTCAAGTACATGTGTTACGTCCGTGACCCGGGCCGCCCCATGTACCTCGGTAGCAGGCACAGGTAGTTCCAGCAGCTCCGCCCCCGCACAGGTGAGGGTGCATTCCAGGTGACGAGGCACACCTGCTCTCCATGAAAGTCACCCTGAGTAGCTTAAGTCTCTGGATGTTGTGGGGCTATCTTGGCTGACATGCCACGTTATTGCGCATTGTTCTGTGGTATCGGTTTTCTTGCCCTTCTCACGTTTAAAGGGGTTTTTGGTTTTTGGACTGCTTTTTGTGAATTGCTCCACCTCTCAGAGCTCCTAGGCTATCCTGGAACAGTGCCACCATCTTACGTCACACCACTCAGCTACCAGCGCTGCCTCATCAGGGCACCCACACACCGAACCCGAGATCTCTGGCACCAGTCTCCCCCTCCCTGGACTACTCCCTGGGCCTGCGGCGCACTCAGCTGTTCAGGTCCCCAGAGTGACTA